GCATGGACTTCCCAACACTGAGCTGGTCACTGTCTGAAGAGGGTCACTCTTGGTCATGCAATGGCAGGAGAAAGAGCTTTGGAGGACTCAAGTTTCAGCGCTGGCTCAGCCCCCGAAGAACAGCTTGCCCTTAGGTAAATCACATCTTTCTCTCTGCCATTGTTTACTCATCTGCTGAAAGAAAACAATACTCCCCTTCTGGGATTATTGGAAGGATTAATCAAATTAAATTAATCTTCACAATTAGCACAAAGTCTGGCATGGAGTAAAGGTATAATGTGGCTTTTTAAAAAGGTAAGAGGCAGGTTTCTTATCTGGAAACTGTGCTCTCACCCTTCAACTCTGGCATTCAATGTCTGAGGCACATAGGATTCAGCAGCTGCCATAGTAAATTAAACCTGGGGCAGATATTTGAACGGATGGCCTGAAGAGGAATTACACTCAGAGAGGCTAAAAGGATTTTAACTCGACAAGAATTTCCTATCACTCAGGCCTACCTAAAGATAAGCTGCTTTGTAAGGTAGTGAGTTTTCTGTCCCCACATGTATTCAAGATGACAAGACCCTTTGGTGGAGACCAGTAGCTCACTCTTATTTCTTCTCAAATGTCTCATTCTCTAAGAAGCTTTCTCTGACCATCTACAGTAAGTTAGGACTACATTTAAAAATCTCCCCAGGGTAACTTGTACTTTTCTTTCATAGTTTATCACAGTGCAAGTTCTTTGAAACAGAAAGACAATCTCTTTTGTTTCCTGCTGAATTCCTAGTAATCATTATTCCTCAATTCAGGTATTATTGAGGCATTTATTCATAGGATAAGTAGTTCGAATAGATTCACAACATGCATACTGCATGATTATCAGAATGGTGAGGCCAATTAATATAGGATTAGATATAAAACAGTTACATTCTTTTGGAATCCAGAGAGACAAAAAGTTTGCATGAAAACATGCCCAGGGGAGAAACTCTATCTAGTGGTGGGCTACAGCAGCAGAGATGATGGAGTCATGGGAAAGGGTAGAGAGGAAGGCACCAGAATGGAAGAAAAAGAGTGGTTTCTAAACTCAAGAGTATATTTCCCCTGGGACACAGCTTTTCAGAGAACTGGCCCTATAGTATGATTGGAAAGGGCAGAATACTTCTTAAGGGCTATGCTCACTGTCACCACCCGGCTCCTGTGCCTTAGGTCTCCAGAGACCTCTCCATCAAAACCAAGCTCACAGCTTAACCCTAGGGGATATCCTACCCGTGCATCAGCCTGAGCCATGCTCAGCATTAGACCACTACCCCTTAGGACCTGGTGGGACATTCCTGTGTGCAGGGGCCAGGCTGCTGAGCGAGAGACTCCCTCTCAAAGAGCGTGGTTCTGAGCAACTGGAAAGCAGATTTTTGACCGCAGATGTTCTGGACTCAGAGTGGGGATTGCCAAATCCTACCCAGGACTTCAAAGGGGCATGCTTTTGAAAACCTTGTGGTCAATTAAACTCATCACGCCTAGCATTCTTCTTCCCTCAATTACTGGCTGAGATGGAAGACTTTTTGGCTTCTGTGCTCATCCCCACTGAGCTTAGGGCTTCTCTTCCTCTGCACACATCCTCCCACGGCTCCCTTTTCCCTCATCAGTTGCCCCGTGTACCATATGGAAGCTCTATGCCACCGCAAATAACACTTTCTACCACCAGCTCCATCACCTGATTGAAGCCTGGCCATCTCCCTGGACCCAACACGTTTCTTACAATTGTTCATTCTTACACAAGATTTACAACATGCATACTGCATGATTATCAGAATGGTGGGGCCAATTAATATAGGATTAGATATAAAACAGTTACATTCTTTTGGAATCCAGAGAGACAAAAAGTTTGCATGAAAACATGCCCAGGGGAGAAACTCTATCTAGTGGTGGGCTACAGCAGCAGAGATGATGGAGTCATGGGAAAGGGTAGAGAGGAAGGCACCAGAATGGAAGAAAAAGAGTGGTTTCTAAACTCAAGAGTATATTTCCCCTGGGACACAGCTTTTCAGAGAACTGGCCCTATAGTATGATTGGAAAGGGCAGAATACTTCTTAAGGGCTATGCTCACTGTCACCACCCGGCTCCTGTGCCTTAGGTCTCCAGAGACCTCTCCATCAAAACCAAGCTCACAGCTTAACCCTAGGGGATATCCTACCCGTGCATCAGCCTGAGCCATGCTCAGCATTAGACCACTACCCCTTAGGACCTGGTGGGACATTCCTGTGTGCAGGGGCCAGGCTGCTGAGCGAGAGACTCCCTCTCAAAGAGCGTGGTTCTGAGCAACTGGAAAGCAGATTTTTGACCGCAGATGTTCTGGACTCAGAGTGGGGATTGCCAAATCCTACCCAGGACTTCAAAGGGGCATGCTTTTGAAAACCTTGTGGTCAATTAAACTCATCACGCCTAGCATTCTTCTTCCCTCAATTACTGGCTGAGATGGAAGACTTTTTGGCTTCTGTGCTCATCCCCACTGAGCTTAGGGCTTCTCTTCCTCTGCACACATCCTCCCACGGCTCCCTTTTCCCTCATCAGTTGCCCCGTGTACCATATGGAAGCTCTATGCCACCGCAAATAACACTTTCTACCACCAGCTCCATCACCTGATTGAAGCCTGGCCATCTCCCTGGACCCAACACGTTTCTTACAATTGTTCATTCTTACACATGATGCACAAGCTGAGGGGAGGTGAGTTGGGCCATCAAGCACTCCCCCAGCATCACTTCCAGATTGTTACTCCTCTGCCGTAGCAGAGGAAACCTTGCTCCTGGGAAGCCTTCTGCCATCTGGATCTGCTTTCAACTACATGCTTAATTGCTCTGCAAATGGTAGAAAGGACTAATTTTAGCATTTCCATCATTTACCAAGTCATAAATTTTGCAGCATGAATTAATCCCACTTAATCTAGGTTGGAATCCTTGCTCTGCTAGTTACTAGTTGTTTGGCCTTTGGAAAGTTATTTAATCTTCCAGATCTCCGATATCTTTATCTAGGAAATGGGGATAAAAATGCCTACCAAAGGAGACTGCTATGAATTGAAATACACAATAGATATGAAATCATAAGAAGCATAAAATGTGAACTGAATCTGGATAGCAATATCTTCAATAGTGTGAACATAATTATCCCTGTGGTAATTAAGGGTTAGTTATTATTTTCTTTATATGAAAAACTATTTGGTAAAACTATTCTGTATTATGGGGCTTCCCAGACGGCTCTGTGGTAAAGAATCTGTCTGCCAGTGCAGGAGATGTGGATTTGACCCCTGGATCAGGAAGATCCTCTGGAGAAGGAAATAGCAACCCCCTCCAGTATTCTTGCCTGGAAAATCCTATGGACAGAGGAGCCTGGCAGGCTACAGTCCATGAGGCTCAAAGATTCAGACATGACTGAGCACACACGCATGCACATTCTGTATGATACAGTAGTGGTAGGTACATGTCATTATATATTTGTTAAAATCATAGAATGTACAGTACAAAGAGTGAACCCTAAAATGAACTGTGGATTTTTGTTCATAATAATGTCTCAGTATTGTCTCATCAATTATAACAAATGTACCACAGTGACTCAAGATGTTAATAATAGGGGAAACTGGGAAAAGAGAGAAAGGAATATATGAGAATTCTGTTTCACTTAATTTGTCTGTAAACCTGAAAGTGCTCAAAATGTAGTCTATCAGTTTAAAAAAAAACTACACATTCTCATGAGTTGAGAATTATTGAAGCTGGTGATGGGAGCATGAGTTTCATTATGTATTTTCTCTCCAAATTTTCCATTAAAATAAAGTTTTAAACAATGTATTTGTTCAAATTGAGTCTTTCAACCAATATCTTCAACTATCAGGTATTCACTTTAACCCATCTAAACTTTACTGATGGTATTTTAATCATCAAACTCAGTGGTAGACGTAGTGGGAGGTTTAAGAACTCTTTAAAACATGGTAGATCCCTCAGTTGGGAAGCTGAAGCTTGTTGCAGAGACAAGAGGTTCACTTGTGAAGTGAGTGAGTCACACCAGAAAAACAACTCAGTAGAGAACTTAAATTCCCGGCTCAGAATGTAAGTTCTATGAGAAACCTGGAGAAAATGGAATTAAAATTCTATCAGTACCCAGCCTGGCACCCTGTGACAATCGAGGGTGTGGGAAGGAAAGCACAAAAAGCAGGGGTTTTATAAATATGTGTGTGTATATATATAATTACGGCTGATTCATGCTGATGTATGCAGAGACCACCACCACAACATAAAGCAATTAACCTCCAATTTAAAAAATTTTATCAATAAATCTGAAGGTTTATAAACATCTTGAATGTCAGGAGTTCTACCAGGAAAATTATGTGGGTCTTTGACTTTGTGGCATAGGAAATCACATATTGCTCAACTTGTATTTTTTTAAATTCCAAAATAAAGGACAGATGATGTTGAAACCAGGGAGTAAGATCTCACTCTTGAATTGAGAGCAAGGAAAAGATGAAACTACACAAAAGTATGTATACAGGCTTGCTGCTGCTGCTGCTGCTAAGTCGCTTCATTCGTGTCCGACTCTGTGTGACCCCATAGACGGCAGCCCACCAGGCTCTCCCGTCCCTGGGATTCTCCAGGCAAGAACACTGGAGTGGGTTGCCATTTCCTTCTCCAATGCAGGAAAGAGAAAAGTGAAAGGGAAGTCGCTCAGTCGTGTCCAACTCTTAGCGACCCCATGGACTGCAGCCCACCAGGCTCCTCCATCCATGGGATTTTCCAGGCAAGAGTACTGGAGTGGGGTGCCATTGCCTTCTCCATGTAAACAGGCCTAGCCGTGTCCAAACCTGAGCTGGATGCTGTTTTCTGAGCAGAGGGCAGGGCCAAGCACTGAGTTGTTGATGAAATGATCATTCAGGTGGTTGTTAGCTTTAGACGATCGGTATGGCTTCTGTGAAGAGTTCAGATAAGGAAGACGGTTTTATTTTAGATCAGTTAAAAATAAAAATATGTCTATGTACATACCTTTTATAGATTTATTTTGGCCTTTGTAAATATCACTGAGCCTTTACAGAGTACTTCAGTATATTTTGCCTTATTGGAGAATTGTTCAATTAATGATGGTTCTGCACAAGATTCTAGTGTTGCTTCTCACAGAATTTATATATTGAGTGATTTATCCCCTTTCCTGCAAAGAGAAAAAAAAAAAAACAGAAATAGAAGACTATATATTTAGATTTTCATAGAGAAACTCAGAAATTGTAATTCCTTGAGAAACAGGAACATTTGAGACTCTCTGTGGAGGACTAGTTGTTATTCTAAAATTAGATCACAAAATCAAATTTCCTGAAATACAAAATCAAGGGGGTTGTAAATTTCAAGTTTTGGCAGCTTGGGCAGCACACAGGTAACTGTGGGAACATCTGATTTAGATCCGGGAAAAGAGAGTGGGGATTTGGATCTAATGAATCTTCATCTTTTTTAACTTGTGTAGTCTTTTGAATAGTAAATAAACATCTGTGGATGCAGAAGAATATCTCTACCGTGGAACTGCTTTCTCTGACTTCTTAGGGGAGCTTCTAAATCATTCCCCGTGCTCCTAACTGCTGCCAATTCCTAGAAATTTCTCTGGTTTTAAGAAATAAATCCAAGAAACCGCAGCATTTATCTGGAGAGGAGAAAGAAAGGGATTTGTGAGCACACTTTAATGCTACAGGGATGGAGTAGAAATGATGTACAGAAGGTAAAGTGCTAGGTAGGGCTGATGCATTACCTATATCAGTTCATTAAATCCTGCAACCACTCTGCCAAGGAGCTACCCATATTTTCAGAGGAAGAAACTGAGGATCAATTTGCAATGTACCAAAGGACACATTGGCTTGTATGTGGCTAAGAATTTGAATCTAGATTTGTCTGAGCCCCACAGCCTTGGCTTCCCATCATGATGCTTTTATATTGTTGACTCTGGGACAACATTTCAAGCAGAAGAGAAGAGGTAACATTTTATCTCATTCTCTGAACCTGTTCCAATTCTTATTAAAAAGATCACCCATATATAAAAAAGAAGAAAGTTGGCTCTTCTTAGGATCTTCTGAGGGCTTAAAACATGTTCCTTTCCTCCCATCTATATAACTGCTATTTCATACATTATTGGAAATTCCATCAGTATTTATTCAATTGCATGCGTGCTCAGTCATGTTCAACTCTTTGCCACCCTGTGGACTGTAGTCCTCCAGACACCTCTATCCATGGAATTTTCCAGGCAAGAATACTGGAGTGGGTGGCCATTTCCTTCTCCACGGAATCTTCCTGACCCAGGGATTGAACCTGAGACTCTTGCATCTCCTGCATTGGAAGGCGGGTTCTTTAGCAGCTGAGCCACCAGGGGAGTCCTTTGCGTTAAATACTTCTTTCTCTTGGTTCTTCTTTTTGAAAGGAAAATATACCCAAGGAAAGGATGTTATATTAATGATTAAAACCAAAGTCTTAACAGTTAATTTACATACCCTTTGAACCAGAGGATTCCAGATTACTAGAAAAGGAAAGATATGCTCTGTGGGTTCATAACTGGGCTTGTAAGGCAACTAGGAAAGTAGTAACTGAGAAGAGGTTAATAAAACTAGTTCTGATATTAAAACAAATTGTACATTCATTGGAAAAGGTTTTCATACTTTTAGGGGGGAAAAGCTTAGTTTTGCTTAGCTTTACATTGAAATAACAGTGTAATGAAACTTTGTCCTGAAATCCCAGGGGTAGTCACTGGGTGCCTACTCACGCAGGTAAGCTCAGAAGGGTAAGAACTGCATGGTCAGGGAGCTTGTACTGCCCAGATACCCTGGTGGGGGCTTATAGACCTCATCACATTCTACTTTCACAGTGACTCTCCAAGAGAAGTTAGCAGACCCTCTATGCAGATGTTGCTAGTAGTAGCTATAAACATTCTCAATTTTAAAAAGATGCACAGAAAATTATTCCTTAATTGCAGATCATTTTACAAAGATAAAAACCAATGTTAGCTTAGGCATCACTGGCATATGGCAGAGTATGGAATTTTAAACCCGAAAACCTGTTTTTAAGCTCTGTGTTTGCCATTATGAGTTGTATAACTTTAAGCTAGGCATCTTGTTTTAAGCCTCAGTTCTTATCTACTGTATAAAGGAGTTTATTAATAACCGAACACCCAAAGCTTTGCGATGAAGTAGCTAGTCCGGTTTATTTGGGTAATGATTCATCACAGATACTCAGAGGAAGAGGCAAGAATGGGGGATGGACGGTAAATTGTCAGTCCTCAGAAGGAACCCTGGGTCTATCTCACAATATTGCTCAAAGCCATCTCTTCTCCCTAAATAACTTCTTTACTCACCCGCACCATTGTGGTTCTTTATCCAGCTGTAACTGTCAGGTTTCTATAAAACTGCCATAGATTACAAGATTTAAAAATTTTGAAGGCTTACATGCTCAGTATGAAAATCTCTAAAGTACGTGTGTCACATGTATATAAAAATGACTATATTTCTGGATTAGCTGGAGGGGAACATCAGGTAAACACAAGCGTAACACCTGTGACTAGGAATCAAAACTACACATTTCAGGAGACTGAGGAACGATTCCACTGAGTATCTTGATTCCTTACCGAATAAAAAATGGACTAAAACAGAGATTGAACAAGAGAGGTGTTCCAAGATGATGATCCAGTGAATGGGAGACACTTTTCTGGCACAGAACACCCACTGTTGGAGGAAATTTAGAAGTAATATTGAGACTAGCTCCTCCAATCCTAAATGTTTAAGGTTTCAAGCTCAGATCTTCTTCCCACCTCTTCCCTGTGGCTAAATGGAGAAGTAAGGTTTTCTGGAATATTTCCATAATGTTTCTCTTGCCGAGCTGTTCTCTATGGGAGATCAAGGTGGTCACGGTGACACGAAGTTGCCCCCTTGAATGCAGACCTGGCAATTCTAAAAGGCAGTTTAGAATGTTAGCATGTAACTAAGCAATCTCCCTGTCGGCGCGGGCTGCAGATCTGAGGCTTAACTGGGGCTAAAGGATCAGCTTCCAAACTCACCCACAGGGCAGCTGGCTCATGCTCTACTAAGTTTATTATGGACTGACTGGAAAGAAATCCAGGAAAGTAAGTGACTGCCAAGCTAAGTAAGGAATTTCAGTAAGGATGGTAGGATATGGACCTCCCATCCTCCCCCTACTTTGGGGTATTAAATTGTGATGGTACTGTGTCTGTTTATGACTAAGGGGTCATAAAATGCAGTGTTTCGCTAGAGCTGGTGTGAAGTTCATACTGTGGCTTTCATTGCTCAAATGAAGGAGCTGAAATATCTATGTGACCATTGGTTAAAAAACCCTAATGTCCACTCCCACTAAACTGAAAACTAGGGACTACCATAACAAGTTTGTATCAAGGGTTCCAACTCTTGGGAGAGGGATTTCCAACAAAATATTTAAAAGCACCAGAAGGGTGAAGCACAGTGAGAAGCAAGCTTTGGAGAAAAGAGCGGCTCACCTGCATGAACTCAGCAAGCTCTTCCAGGAAACTGCCTTTTTGGGGAACTAAGAGTTAAGTCCTGGAAGTGTTAGGGTGGCTTTGTGTCAGGACCATATTCACAATTCCCACTATTGTAATCACCAGGCCTTGAATCTGGAGGGAAAATACACTTTGTTGGAAAAGTGGTCTGAATGCCCACATGCTTAACTTGTTCTGGAGGGAGGCTTGGAACAATTGAGGCCACAAAGGTGTAGAAAAGTGAGCCAACCATGCCATGAGGACTTCCAGAAGAAAGAAAACATCTCAAAGTTTGAATTCATCAAGCCAAACTGCCTTTCAATGGAATGGCGCTCTAAAAATGCTGATTTTTCCCAGCCTTTCAAGGGCAAAAACTTGATTAAAAAAAAAACAACCTATGTTTTTAAAATAATAGATACCCATTTTTACTAGTAAGAAAATTAAGTGGCTTGCCTTTGAAAAACTAACAACCTTCCTTCTCCAAAAAGAAAGGCAGTGATGTCTTTATCAAGCTTGACATTAATGTGGGCTGTCACTGAACAAAACTAACAGAGTGAAATATCAAACTAGCAAACAACGATGCTCTTCTATCTGTAATGTCTATATAGAGGTTTTAACGCGTTCATCAAGAGTTGAAAATTTGCATCAGCTTTTCTTCCACACTTCCTACAAGAACACTGTAGGTATACAGAGTTTAGATTCTTACACAAACATTCCTTGTCTTGTTGCTTTTTACATGAAATATTTACATACATTTATATGAAATATTTATCCTGTGCATCTATGGTAGTACTTTTAGGTTTTGACCTATCTTAAAATCTCCATAAAGCCAGCTTCATGAATAATTTGGTAAATGTTAACATACCATACTGTCTGAGTTACCGGGGAAGCCCAACATATCCTAGTTAGCACCAAATAGACTGTCACTAATTCATTTTACTCAGATTGATAGCAAGTTAATGGTTTGACACTAGAAAATTTATAAGAGTCTTCAATGAAGATCTTCTGGTATATCCTATATGCTTGTATTCATATTATACCTCTGACTAGATGAAAAGATTTTAATTTTTTTTAATTAAAAAAATGTGGCTCAGTGGTAAAGAGTCCACCTGCATTACAGGAGATGTGTGTTCAATCCCCAGGTTGAAAAGTTCCCTTGGAAGAGGGCATGGCAACCCACGCCAGTATTCTTGACTGGAGAATCCCAAGGACAGAGGAGCCTGGTAGGCTACAGTCCATGGGGTCACAAAGAGTCAGACATGGCTGAAGCAACTGAGCAAGCATACTTTGAAAATAGCTTTATCTTATTCTAAAGTACTCTTAAAAGTTTATGTGCAAAAAATTAAACAGATTTGTACATTAAAATATATAATTTATAGTAAAACAGAAAAGTGTTAGAAATATTATACATAAATATTTATTATCAATGCTGTGAATAGAAATATAAGAAAAAATACCCTTCCATGACATCACCATTTAAAAATAATGACTTTTAATAGTTTAATGGATTTCCACTAAGGTTTTATTTCTATCATTTTTTTTATATGCTCAGGCCATGTGCTGAACTTTATTTCATCCTGCAAACATCATTATAAATATCATTAATTTTTCATAAAATATTTAAAGTTGTATAACACTTCTTAATATGGATTAGGTGTTATTTAACTCTCTTTTCTTTGGAATATATATATACATATATATATATATATATATATATGATTTCTCTCTAAAACTGCAATTTAACTTTTTTGTTGCATTATTTCCTAAACAAACTTTCCCAGGAGTACAAGGCCAAAAGATGTGATACCTTTTCAGATTTATAGTCCACAGTATCACATTGCTTTCTGTTCACCAGCAGGGAGAACAGAGACGTTCTCACTCCCAAACAGTCTGAGAATGTGTTTCACTAACTTTCTATATTCTCATCTGAATATTCTAATATTCTCTTTTTTCTTCTCAAAATTCATTTAAGTACCTCATGATTGCTTTGCATTTTTTTTGCAGCTAAGCAGTTTTTGTCAGATTTATCATCTATTTATCTTCTGTAAGATATCTCTCTAGTGCATTTTGGAAACACTCTTTATGTGGCTTTTCCTTTGAACTGATAACAAAACATGTCTAGGACCAGTTCCTAGAAAATACATTTTATTTTGATACGGTAAAAACACAAGAATCTGGAAGTGAGGCTTTCTCTAATGTTGGCTTTGTTCCCAAGGTTCACATAGAGCATTTGATTCAATGATGCTGTAACATTCTGCAGGACAATTATGTAGCTATAATGATCAATTCTTATACCACATCATTCATCTCCTGCTCCTTCACATAAGAACTCTTACCACTCCTTATTTTGAAATAATATTTAAAAATCAGAATTAAAATCACATTTTTTAATATTCCATCTTAAAACATCCTAAAAATCAACTTGACTGCGAATTCTGGAAAAACTCTAGCCACAGGTCATAACATCCCTGTGCACCACAATAACTTGGCTGAGAAATACTGGATAAGACTCAGACACATAGGAGGAAATTCTCCTCTGGTACAGAATTGGCTGCCCAAGAAAATGAAAGTGGAAACGATCAACTAAGAAAGATAATTTTCTTATTTATAAAAATAGAGCTCATTTCCCAAATAGGGCTTATGTACTCAAAATGTAAGGCAAAGCTTGCCACGCTTCCAGGCCCTCCATTTGACTCAGAAAGGATCTCGGGTCCTATACATCTCGTGCCTACCTCTGCCACCTCCTCTCTGCCTCGCCCTTCCCCTTCATCCCTTTCATTCATTCTGCTCCAACCCTCCTGGCCTCTGGGCTGTTCCTGGAATAAGCTGGGCAAACTCCTACTCCAGATCTGGCCTTTGCATCAGCTGTTCTCTGCCTACATTTTCTTCCCCTCAACATCCATGTGCAAACACTTGCTTACTCTAACACTTGCTCACATGACTCCCTCTCGATGAGGCCTATCTAACTCCCTTATTTAAAGTTACAACCTGTCCCCTGTCATCACATATCTGAACCCCCTTGTCCTGCTCTACATTTTCTCTCCATAAAAATCATCATCTAACTTTTTTGTTATGTCTGTTGTCACTCTCCTTGTTAGAATATTAAGCTCCAGCAGGATAGAGATCCTTGTTTTATTCTCCAATGTCTATCCCAAGGACCTAGAGTAGTATCTGGCAAATTGGCATTCAAATATTATTTGTGGAATGAATTAAAAATATGTTTAAAGGAAAGTACAGACAGTATGCTATGGACAGCATTTGTCTGGGTATCCATGACCTACCTTCGTCTCATGTCAACTTTTTGATAATATAGATCAATGTGTTGACTTGTTGATCTGACAAATAGTCATCAGTCAGACTATGTATCAGCACTGTCCTAGGTCCCAGCAATCCAAGGAAGAGAAAATATAATCTCTATCATCAGTGAATGTGCAGACTAGCAGCACACAGCAAGGGCACCCAACCCGGCCCAACTGGAGGCGGGGGGTGCTCAGGAAAGACAGATCATCAAATGGAGAGCTGAGGCAGGAGGAGGCTGGATGAAGGGCACAAAGTGTGCAGAAGACACTCCAGATGAAGGAGGAAGGATGCTCAAAGGTCTGGCATGATATGGCTGCTACCTACCATCAGTTCTATGCTATGGTATTTGGACTTTATCCTGAGAGTGGTAGGGAGTCATGGAAACATTGAAATAGAGTGTAACATGACCAGATTTACCTCTTAGAAAGAGCACACTGTCCTCTAACTCTCAAAGTGTGTTAAACAAGCATTTTATCAAATGCTTACAATAATCAAAATGCTTTTTCTTTGTGCTTTGGGGGAAATTAGAAGGTATGCGTAAGGAAAGAAATTTTAAACTGTATTGGTAAATCATGTTTTAAGCATAAGAATAAGAGGTATTGAAAAAAAGCTTTGTTTTTCCAAAGTTAATTACAATATGGAAAAGATATAAAAATTTTTTCAGTTTAAATGAATTATTTTCCTTTTAATTAATTTCACTATTATTAAATAAGTTAAACAAATTCAGTTTTATTTCCTAGAATTAAAAACTAAAGGTTCAAAAAGCTGACTGAGAAGGAATACATTTACAACTTTCAATGTCAGAAAACTTTGTTGTTGCTTCAGAAATGTGCAGCAGAAGCAAGCTGACATGTATTCTGAAAGTATGTTTGATACACGTGACTAGAATTTACAAAGACGAAGTTACATTCTTTATAAGCCCCTGGCCTTTTCTGCCTGGGAAGGCTAACCATCCTGTCATCAGTGTAATACCCTACCACGAGTATAACTGAGGTGTCAAGAGTTACCCCTCCCTGCTACACTTTCCAAATAGCCAATGGTGTCCTGAGATTCCTGGTAGGGGCCTCAATAAAAAGAATCTCTGGGGCAGAATATCCTTCTGTACCCTTATTCCACCTTTCTGATGTTAAATG